GAGGGGGCAGAAAAGAATAAGAGGGCCTGGTAACCGCCAATCGCCTCCTTGTACTACAACTCCCAGCATGCAGCAGGCTAGCACTCCGCAGCTCCCTCCCACAGTGTTAGAAGGGGGTGTTCTTTATAGAGGTTTTAGGATTGAAAAGGACATGTCTGCCGATATATATTCCTCTGCAATACACTTTTAGCACCACTCATCATATAGGGGAACCCCGCTTCCCCCCCATACAGACCCCCCTGAAATAATCTCACCCCACACAGGGAACACTGAGCGTGGACATCCTCCCCGCCTTCCCCCGTGTCACATGACCGGGTCCGTCACATCAGAGTGGGGGCGGAGCTTGGAGGAGCTGTGCTCGGTATACGGAAGGATGCAATGTCACGTGGTACGGCATGCCTCATGGACGCGGCTGACACCGGGAGGACCGCCCTAGGTAGCGGCATGGAGGGGCGGTCAGGTAGCAGTATGGAGGGGGGGGGGGGGGACTAACGGCAATGTTCTACATAGAAGGGACGCTGCCAATACAATAAACAAAAAGTTTAAAGGCAATTATTCCTTTTATTAGATTGTGCCCCTGGTGCAGGACAAAAAAACAGCTCAGGTGCAATACTCACCTCAAACCCGGAACATTCCAGCACAAGATGTCCTGCATCTAAGGAGGCGTCAGTGGCGCTCTTTACTCATAAGGAGGATTTTACAAAATCTGGAGCAGTTTGCCACTAGTAACCAATCAGCATCTATTTTCAGCAGGTTTGGAATTGAAGCCGGTGTTCTATCTAAAGTTCCAACTTATCGAGTTCTCCAACTGCCTGACTTCCGGTTTAGTTAGAACTAAGAGGTTTGGGCAAGAAAGCTCTTCTGCAGGAGCGCCAGCCGCGGCATTGCGCTATAGAGCACAGCAATGAAGTATGAAAATGAACCAGGATCACACTAATCCAGCACGTCATTAATCTCAGGTGCCCCACTCAAGCGGTGGCCATATTGAATGGGGCACCTGAGATGAATAATGTGCATCCGCATACAGCCGCGCGTCGTGTATCGGAAAAAAATTGCCTCGCGCATGTAACCCCATTAAAATCAATGGGGCCGCGCAGCAATCACTGTCTGCAATTGTGCAGGAACGAGCGATCCCGGATCGCTCAGGTCTGCGCCGGGCCTCATACTTCTGTTTTATATATGGAGCGTTGTGGATGTGGGACCAGAAGATGCATTTGTGACATTTCTTTATTCAAAACAATAAAACGCACTAAGGGCCTGTCCACACCATATGCAGTGCGTTCCGGCCGGCTCACTATTTCGTGGGCTCGGCTGGCCATTGAAGTGAACCGGTGCGGTGCGATCAAAACGCTGCAAGCACTATTTTGATCGCACCGGACCGCAGGCACAATGTGCCTTGCGATCCCGTGCGGGCGATCGCATTGTGGCCGGAGGGCGTGGCTTCACTTAAACGACGAACGCGCTACACATGTTGGGTATCGCCGCGCACGCCGGAGTGAGAGTAATAATTCTAGGGCCTGTATTTTGGGGTATCTCTAAATTGATGACCTGTGGGGGCTTTTAAAGCGTCTTCTATGGACTTTTTGGGGTACTGGGGTTTTCCGCCGTTTTACGGATGCATACACTTTGTAACCTGGGCATGTTGGGTATCGTTTTACTCGCTGTAACCTCATCTTTTATATTTCATTTAAAAAATTGGTATTTTGTTGTGTTTTGGGGCATTTAATTAAATTTTTCACTAAATATTGGGGTTTAATAAGGAGTTGCGCTAATATTGCGCAACATAAACATTTGCAACTACCACCATTTTATTCTATAGGGTCTTGGCATTCAGAAAATATATCATGTTGGGGGGTTTTAAGTAATTTTCAGGCCTAAAATGTGGAATATAAAATGGGTACAAAAAAATGAAAAAAAGGCCTCAGTCATGAAGGGGTTAAGTGTGGAAATGGAAAGTGAAAGCTTCTCTGTGTTGAGTCACACTGAATCCTCCCATCTTCCCTTGCATGTCAGAACCCCCGGGGTTTCCCAAATAGGGAAATGGTCAGTCTGAGGGCTACAGAGACACGTGGGACGTGGGAGAGCGTGTGAAATAAAAGCCCAGCTACTCACAGAGGACCCAATGTATCAATGTAACCAGGAGGTACCTCCTTTCACATCAGAGTTCAGCCGTCTCACTAGAGGAGCCTCCTTGACATCAAAACCACCGTAACATCAAGAGCCCTCTTCACACCAGAAGCCCCCCCTTTCACATCAGGAGCCCTCTTGACATCAAAGCCCCCTTTCACTTCAGAGTCCCCCCTTTCACGAGGAGCCCCCTTTCACATGATAGTCCCCCTTTACACGAGGAGCCCCCTTTCACATCAAAGTTCCCCCTTTGCATCAGGAGCCCCGGAGCATGAATGATGGGTATGAATTGGAACATTGCTTTAAAGGGACACATTCTTTATTTTGCATGACGGGTCCTCTTTAATACATGTCTGCTTTGTGTGCAGGATGCTGAGTATCTCCCTCCTCCCAGAGGATGCGCTCCTGGAGATTTTCTCTTTAGTTCCACCTCTGGACTTGATCCATCGCTGCCGGCCGGTCTGTAGCCAGTGGAGGGACGTCATCGACTCTTCGACTCTGTGGAAGACGATATGTCAGAGAATGGGGCTCATCCCCCAAAACTGGATACGCCCCCCGAGAGACTGGAAGAAGTATTATTATCTGCGCAGCCGCAGAAGGAATTTACTAAAAAACGCTTGCGCAAACGGTGAGACTCCTAAAGTCATTATGTAGAGGGGGAGGAGGTGGGCAGAGAGGTATGTGTACGTGCTGCCAGGAGGAGAGAGCAGAGAGATGATCCTATCAGTCTTCTGCCACTCCTTTTATACGGTATCCAGTCACAGGCTGGTGGCGGGGAGCAGGGGCGTCTCGAGATTTTGCTTACTTAAAGGCCTCATTCAGATGAGAAAAAGCCGGCACGTACAGCTCCATGCTGTGTGCACAGCCGTATCGGGCAGCTCCCGGGAAGGACAGGTGCTGGGTGTGATTAGTATGCAGCCCCCGTCCTTCTCTATGGGACCACGTGGCCGTACGCCGCCCTACGCTCACCCGCCCTGGATGCCCGTGCGCGTGTCAGTACTCTTACATTGACTGGATGGATCCTGTCTGCATCCTGTACGGACCTGCACGTGGGGGCAGCATACGGCCGCGTAGTCCCATAGAGAAGGACGGGGGCTGCGTACTAATCACACGCAGCACCTGTCCTTCCCGGGAGCTGCCCGATACGGCCGTGCACGCAGCATGGAGCTGTACGTGTCGGCCGTTTCTCGTGTGAAAGCAGGGGCCTCAAACCTCCGGCCCTCCAGCTGGGGGTGAAACTACAAATCCCATGATGCATCTCTCTTTCGGGAGTCATGTCTGTGAGAATCTTGCAATGCATCATGGGATTTGTAGTTCCACCACAGCTGGAGGGCCGGAGGTTTGAGACCCCTGCCTGAAAGGGTGCCGTGAAGATTCCGAAACTTGGTTTGCCTTTTTTGTTACATTTTATTACGTTGTATCATTTACATTTCTCTTCAGAAGAGTTGAAGTTCTGGAAGTTAGAAAGTAACGGAGGTGACCGCTGGAAGGTGGAAGATCTGCCGGGAGAACACGGCCAGCCGTTCCCCGATGACACCGTCACCAAGTACTTTGTGACGTCGTATGAGTAAGATATTTTATAATGTGTAGAGAACATTGTGAAAGATCTTCATGGAAAAGGATTATCCACAGGCACAGGAGTGTTGATGTACATGGCTGCTTCATGGCACTGGGATGCCGAGATCAGTTCCCACAAGGTGATCTTTAAAGGAGAACTATGGGGTCAGTGTTTTCCCCCATAGTTCTCCTAAGGGTAACGGGAGGACACAAACTAGCGTCCCCCCGTTACCCTAAGCTCAGTATACAGGGAGCTACAGCTCGCGGTATACTGAGACGCCGCAGCTGAAGCGGATCCCGACATTTATGTCTGGATCCGCCCAGCTGCTTGACTGACAGCTGGCTCTGCCTATCTAGAGGCAGAGCCAGCTGTACCCTCCCCCGTCCGTTCCGCCAGTCAGCGCTGGAGGATCGGAGTGGGGAGGGGTGGAATCCCTGCAGGGAGCAGTGAGTGACAGTCATTGCTTTCTGCAGTGACGGGATCGAGAAGTGAGCGAGCGCAGGTATGTGTTCACTCACCTCCCGATCTACTGAGCCGACCGGTGACACTCTCATTGTCACAGGTCGGCTAGTAATATGAGGAGGAGTGAAAATTACTCATCTCATAGTTCTCCTTTTAAAGCGGAAGTAAATGGCCATAAAAAATTAACATGACAGGTCCTCTTTAATACGTGGTATATTTTGTGTGCAGGACGCTGTGTGTCGCCCTCCTCCCAGAGGATGCGCTGCTTGAGATTTTGTCTTTAGTTCCACCTCTGGACTTGATCCAAAGCTGCCGGCTGGTGTGCAGCCAATGGAGGGATGTTATTTAATGAGGAATTTCCCAACATGTGTAGCGCGTCGTTTTCATACGTAGGCGCACCCGACGCGTGTTTACGTGGCGACGCGCGTGATCGCGGGGGCCTTAAAAAGATTTTTTTTATTATTATTAGATTGATTTTATTTAATTTTAATTGAAAAAGCTTTTTTTTTTTTTTTTAAACTTTACTTTGACTGCTATATCACATAGAGGGGCTTACAAGCCCCCCCATGTGATCGCAGATGGTCGTGACAGGTACTCTTTAAGGTGATGCTGGGGGTCCAAAAGACCCTCAGTGTCACCTTTACACTGGAAATAAGCTATTGAAGTGCAGATCGCACTTCAATAGCTTACAGCTGGGCTGCAGGAGCCCAGAACTGACAGCCCAGGGACCGGAAGTGATGCAATCTGCATCGCTCCCGGTCCCATAGAACGGGGAGGGGATCGATGAACGGAAGTTCGTCGACCTCCTCCCCAGCTCCCCGCGGACACAAAGATCGCCGGTCCCGGGCCCGTAGGAGGGGCAACGGAGCCC